AAAAAATTCAGGCCTGTACGGGATTCGAACCACTGACCTCTGCGATACTAGTGCAGCGCTCTACCAATTGAGCTAACAAGCCAACTGGGAGCAGGCCATCAAATTAATTCGACATAAACCCGTAGATGATAAATCAAACAACAAACATATGAAATACATATATATGAACTGCGGTTATGAAACGTATATGTGCACGATCCTTCGCAGTAAAGCACTATTTAAGCAATAGTGAAAATCAGACCTGAAAAAAATTCAGGCCTGTACGGGCTTGTTAGCTCAATCGGTAGAGCGCTGCACTAGTATCGCAGAGGTCAGTGGTTCGAATCCCGTACAGGCCTGAATTTTTTCAGGTCTGATTTTCACTATTGCTTAAATAGTGCTTTACTGCGAAGGATCGTGCACATATACGTTTCATAACCGCAGTTCATATATATGTATTTCATATGTTTGTTGTTTGATTTATCATCTACGGGTTTATGTCGAATTAATTTGATGGCCTGCTCCCAGTTGGCTTGTTAGCTCAATTGGTAGAGCGCTGCACTAGTATCGCAGAGGTCAGTGGTTCGAATCCCGTACAGGCCTGAATTTTTTCAGGTCTGATTTTCACTATTGCTTAAATAGTGCTTTACTGCGAAGGATCGTGCACATATACGTTGGCTAAAATAAACCTTCTTTAGGGAATACCTTTTCTTCGTGCAGTTGTTTATCTGCACAAAACGTTAAAACCAGAATGGTGGAAAGTAAACAACAAAGCTATTCGTTTGAATATCGCGTGACGTTTGTGGTAAAGATATGCGTGTACGTACTTTCCATCGGAAGTTCTTGGGTGGTGGTTTTGTCTAAATTTTCAGGCAGACCGCCTCCATAAGAGTATTGGCACTTATCAATACAAATGTGGTATCGTCAAGACATCTAAAAAGAGAAAAGGCTTTGCTTCCGGTTCTTGTTCGTCGCTAAAACACGACGGAAAATTAAAATACTTAAGGGGGTGAGGGAGAGCGAAGTACAAAAAAAAAATATTCGCAACTGACTCTATCTCTGAGAACGGCGGGACGAACTGGCAAGTCGACGAGTCGATTTCAGAGAACGGCGGGACGAACTGGCAAGTCGACGAATCGATTTCTGAGAACGGCGGGACGAACTGGCAAGTCGACGAATCGATTTCTGAGAACGGCGGGACGAACTGGCAAGTCGACGAGTCGATCAGATAGACCAGACATCCCAACCTGGCCACTTGAATGTGGAAGTGACGATTGCAGACTTTTGTCCTGGATCTGCCTTCATAGAATTTGCTTGGAAAGTAAGCATTTAAATCTATCAGGTGACACAGATGTAAAGTTGTCATATGGGAAAAATCATTTCTTTTTACTTAGACATGGAAATGCTTTGCTGATCGAGACTGTAAGAACACAACAGAATTAGCGTGACGCATGAAGTGTAATACTTTGGCAGTGAGCATGCGCTTACAAATTTTGAACTTGTAAGCTTTCTACCAAGTGGTAATCGCGTGAGCCAGTAAAGTGTTCGGTTGGTAAGATAAATTTGAGAAATCTTGTTTGCACCGTGCCGGATTCCCACTTCGTTGCTCATCTACTGAGCCACAGAAAACTCCGTGGCGAGTCAAGCCATTACTGGGTCAGCAGCCCATTGGTTATGGGCTCCTGACTAGGTTCATTTGGGACTTGTCCTAATTTCGTACCCAGATCCTACCGTGCAACGTATCTGTAAAAGGTCTGGGTACAAGACTAGATATGTTCTTGATGCTGTTTGGATCAACAATGTTTAAGAAAGAAAGAGAATAAGAAAGGTGTAAAATTTTGAGTTTGGTAATGATAAAAAGAACTGTTACCCCAAAAGGAATAGTAGTTCACAAGTTAATTATATTCAATTTTGCATAATAATCATCAGCCGATCAATGACGTCAGAAACAGATTACTTCATTACCTTCTATGATATCATAATAACTTCTCGCTTTGTTTTCAGCTAGGAAGCAAATTTATTTGGAGATGTGAACTTATATTTGTAGTTTGTATCCCAAAAGTAATGCGGGATCGAATCCGCTGTTTTAACGGTAGGTAAAAGATCCGATCCTTGCAGCTTTTCGAAAGAGCGAGAAAATGGATCTCGGACGCTGAATTCATACCGTCATGCATTGGCTATGCTGTCGGCCTGGGAAATTTCCGGCGCTTTCCGTATGTGTGTTTCAAGAACTTGATTAACTTAACTGATAAAGCTTAGATATCTAAATAGCTTCGTCATTTATTCATGGGTTTAGTTTAGGTTTACAGGTGCACACTTTTTAGAGCGGTTAAGGAGACGCGTCAAAAATCCTTGCACCTCACTATCGCGACACTTTCTTCAGTTGGAGATTATCTACCAGAGATCAGTTGAGTAAGACAGGCAAACACAAAAGGGGTGAAAAATAAATAAGAACGGAAAAAAGATGGCTGAGGAAGGGGAGGATTGTCGTACATTGTAAATGACTACAAAATTATAAGTATGATATAATGAAAAAAAAAAAAAACACAGGAGGCAAACAGTCTTATTGTTATTTGTCCGATTCTGTTTCGAACTAAATTTTTGGTCAATTTTTTCGTTTTTTCGATACTTCACTCATTTTGGCGAACAATAAAATGGCAAAATTGACAGAGTAAATCGCACCTTGGTACATGGCACGGGGTAATAACAAGTTGATCTAGCGAAAGACGGTTTCTTCTCCAAATAACTCCAATAAAATTTTTGGGCTACGCAAACTACGAAGTTTTAGGACCCCAAACAAAAGTGAAACCGAGGTCAAAACACGCCATTCCTTGTCAAGCAATTGGAGGTAAACATTCAACAATGCGCTCGTCGAAAAGACAACAAGCCGTTTGGGGGCGAAAACTCGTTACTAATCTGAATAAAAAGCTAATTTGGATTAACATTTATCGCTTCTGATGCTCAGGTTACTTGCAATTTAAACTTATAGCCGTTATTTTAGGAACAAAACAAGCCAAAATGCAAAATCATCTTGTTCTAAGCGGCTGCAAGGAAGGATATAATTTGAAACCGGTAACAAACTGTAAAATCAATATGTTTGCCGTATTTATACTTTAATTTGAACATTATTGAAAAAAAATTGTATATACCATGCATCAGCGCAAAACACTACTGGTGAAATTTCTTGTCAACATTATTCTGCCTTAGTTCCTTTTTCTTGTAGGTTATCTTTGACTCTTCTTAAGTCTCCTCACCAGCGTTTATTCATTAAAGTAAACTCCGTTCAAAAATTGTCTATTATTTCGANGATCATAATCCCCTCCAACACTCATATACACATCATGTAGCCAAGGCAATTCCTCTGGACTCATAGCATAGCCCCTAATGGTCCCATTCATTGAATTCCAAACAATCTTTGACTGCACCTGTGTTTCAAGTAAAGTAAATTCTTCCAGGTAAAATCAGCTAAATTAATTAGTGCAACGTTGCTTCTAATTGAAGTAACTGTTAAATTGCTTGCACTAAAGATGATTGCACTAAAGCAATGACTTAATTTTTTGTTCTGTCCTGTGTTTAACTTTTGCCAATTTGGACATCCAGAAATTCATAGTTTTAATTTTCCGCACTTACTTACCTGAACTATACAAGTGTAAAGATTTTCTAATGTATGAGTCCAGAGGAATTGCCTTGGCTACATGATGTGTATATGAGGGTTGGAGGGGATTATGATCAAGCCATTGGGTTTGATTTGCGATCAGGAGATGTTTCACCTCTGATCACCACTTTGCAAGCAAGGGCAAGCCGGCCACAGAAGCAAGTGGCTGTTATGATCTCTAGCCTCTGCACTGTGGCAGTTCTAATTTGGGAGACAGAAGCCATTGCAATTGTAGATTCCCATTCCCTTGGCCAGCGTGGAGCCATGGTAGGCTATGTACCCCATGGACAGGGTAGCTGTCATGATATTGTAAATTGGTACTCAGGGGTGATGCAAAACTTCTTCAATGAAAATCTAGCCTTGTGCACTCTTACATTTGTTTCTTATGATTGCACGAAGGCCTTTCGCCATAAAAGTTAATCCAAGTCCTTTGACTTTAGTGAATGGGGATAACAGTACATTAAACTTAACATGTAAGAGTTTTTAAGGGTCATGTATTGCTTGCCCTGCCAGCAATTACATTTTTACTGTATGACTTGGCTTGCAAAAAGAGAATTTTTGCACAGGTATGCCACAGCTCATACAGACAAATTGTAGCCTCTGGTGGCTGGGTAGAATGTGACAGGTGTTAAAGGAGGGAATTTTTCAATGTGGATCACACATGCAGATCGGGAGCATCACATAACTGAACTGACTGAAAGAAAATTTAGTTTTACTAGAGATACTTACCTTAAAAACTGAAGTAACGAACGTAGATGTTTTTAGAGTTAGAAATTAGGGCCAGGGTTCCCTTGTAAGTTTGTTTTCTTTAGCCCTCAAAATTTCTCTAACCTTAAAAATTCTGGTATGTTTTGTCCTGACCTGTGCGATCACATAACGTCTCAGAGTTCCATACTTCTTACATGAAAATTCATACAGTCTACCTTTTCTTAGTAATACTAAATGTCTTTAGGTTGTCTCTCAGTGACTGACCAGCTTCAACAACTTTACCAGATTTTGCCAAGTCCTTCTCAAATTTTCCTCTGAAGAACTCATTTGTTCTTTTGTTACATAGTTTGTGAAACATATCACGGTATATGTTATTAATTACAGAAAAAGGATAAGTTGTAGTTAAAGCTCCACATTTTCCTATTGACCATTTGAAAGATTTTAACAATTGCTCAT